TAGCCCCATGTAGAGAGTGTTACAGTAATCCAGACGTGAGGTTACCAGTTCACCCACTAATTGATCCATTGCTCAGCTGCTCCTGCTGATAGTACGTTTCTACTGATGTACAACAGAAATCTAGCCAGTGCTTGGAGATACCATATTCATTTTTTGAACTAAAGCATTAGTCCCCAAAAGTAGCATTCTGGTTATTACTTGGATGGGAGACCACCAGCAAATACCAGGTGCTGTAGACATATTTCAGAGGAAGGAAATGGCAAAACCACCTCTGAGTATTCCTTGCCTTAAGAAAAAAAAAACCCTGTGAAATTCATGGGGTTGCCATAAGTCAACAGGCGACTTGAAAGCATGTAAACATTCACGTATCCCTTGAATCAAATTGTACATAAAATGTATTGAGTAAGAAATAAGATATTAAATTAAAGAAAGTGAATAAATGTAGAGATACTTCTTGAAATCCCCAGATTGTTCTTCAAAGGGTTTTGCAAGAATTATTTTATATCGATCCAGTGTTATTTAGTTTAATACAATGGCCGTGGGTTCATGGGAGTGGGGAGAAGAGCTTTAAATATAATTATGTACATTTGAATGGGGTTGCCAGATTTGAAGAACTGGCTCTGCATTTCCTCATGGACCCTTTTGGCTAGCCCTCAGGGTAAGGGAGAGATACATGAAAAACTGTACCTATAGTCACACTAGTGCATTGTACACTTATGTAGATATTACTGTGTGTTGCTGATCCCTCACTGGTGTAGGGCTCTTTGGACTGGCTTCTCTTGAACCTCTTGGGAATCCAGCTGTTCCTCTCCTCACAATGTCAAAGGTTCTCAAACTGTACCAGCATTCTCTGTGAGTTTGTGAGTGTGTGTTTGTGTGAAAGAGAGAGAGAGGTGATGAGAGGTGAGAAGGAAGAGGAGGGAGTGAATGGAAGAATGAGAAGACAGGAGAGTCTGCACCAAACATTCCTTTCTGCTCAGTCATGTTGCATCATGACGCAGCTTTCCATTGTATAGCAAGACAATTTTCACTGGGGACAGGAGTGGGGAAAATTGTGGGACAGGAGGGTTTGGGCATCAGTCACTATAAAAGAGGTTTCTGTGGGGAAAGTTGTCATAGGTAACAACAAAAATAACTCTCAGTTAATATATTTTAATTAGGAAGTATGTTATGAAGCTTCCAAAAAAAGAAAGAAAGAAAGAACAAAGAAAAGAGAACAGAAGAGAAGAAGGAAAGACAATATTCTCCACTTGCAAAAAGTGGGTGTGTAAAGTGAACTGGGAAGTAAATGTAAATTGGGCAAGGTATCTTTTTTATGGGCAACATATAACTTCCTTGTTGAAACAGTTTCACTGGCTACCAATTCGTTTCTGGGCCCAATTCAAAGTGCTGGTCATGACCTATAAAGCCTTATTTGGCTTAGGTCCAGATTATTTGAGAGACCGCATCTCCCCATATGAACCTGCTAAAGCCCTAAGATCTTCAGGAGAAGGTTTTCTCTCAGTCCCACCTCCATCATAGGCTCACTTGGTGAAGACATGAGAGAGAGCCTTCTCAGTGGCTGCTCCCAATATCAGGTACGCCATTCCATGGGAAGCTAGGCTGGCCCCCTCCCTGCTGGCCTTTCACCAGCAAGTAAAAACATTTTGATTCAGGCAGGCATTTTAAAATCATGGCAGGATGGCTTTTATATGGGGTAGGTGTTTTAGATTATGTGTTTTAACTTTTGTATGTTTTTAATCTTAATTTTATACGGTTTTAACAGGGTTGGTATTTTAATTGGTTTTTAAAAATGTTTTAAAGGTGTTTTTATCTTGTGAGCTGCCTTGGTTCCCTTTTTGGGATAAGGGCAGCATAACAATAAATAAATAAATAAATAAATGCCTAATATAATCATTTGAATTGTTAATAAAATACTAATGTGCTATGGTTTCTCTGCCAAATTGTGGAGAAACTGTCCATTTAAAATTTCTTCAAATATATTTTCAAAAGCCAAGATCATTTAGTAAAGTAGATGGACATTACTTCTTTTTCAGAAAATCTAGTACCATGGAAAGAATAGGGATAGGTTATTGTTGTTGTTGTTGTTGTTGTTGACTCATTGACTCATGGCGACCCTGTGGATGAGGCATCTCCAAAACTCCCTGTTTTCCACTGTTCTGCTTAAGTCTTGTAGATTCAAGCCCTGAGTTGATTTTATTTTTATCTTCTTTCTTTGCTGTCCAGCTCTCGCATCTGTACATGGTGATGAAAGTACCATGTTTGGACAATTCTAACTTTAGTGCTCAGTTGTATGTCTTTATTTTTTAGTATCTTTCCTACCTTTTTCATGTCTGTCCTTTCCATTTCTGTTCTTCTTCTGACTTCTTGACTGCAGTCTCCATTCTGATTGATGTTTGATCCAAGGTATGAAAAATCTTTAACTGTTGATTTCCTCATCGTCTATACCACACACATCAAAAAGAGCAGTTTGATGAGTTTCATAGAAGTTTTTATTCAAACCTAATAGTGTACACATGTGAAATGAAACACGTCAGGAAAGCATTGCATAAGTAAACAAAAATATTTTGAACCTTATACAGATCACTTGAAAACTTTTTCCAAAATGCATTGAGGGATGGCTTTCTTTCAGCAGCCTCTACTTTTCTATGATTTCCATTTTGGGTGTCAAATCCATAGAACTATGTGTTTTTAGCATACGGGGGTGGGGGGGATAACATACTGGCAATAGCTGGTGAGGGCAGGTGAATTCACTTTCCCTCTTTCTTTCTGTTTTGCCATTCACTCGTGCTCTAGCAGCAGCTACTGTTACTTTGCTTGTTGTAGGTAGGCACAATTAGAGTAGGTTGGCTGAGAAGTATCCCATTCTTTCCAAGCTCAAGCTTTATTGCACTGTATACTGCAGATATGCTTCTGCAACTTGGCAACTGAATGCCTCTGTTCCTCCAGTTCTTCACCACCCTTCGAGTGCCAATGCTATTTTAAAAAAATTGCAGTTAGGAAAAGGACAAGGAGGGAAAAAGGAAGGGCTAGGTGGGCAGAAAAAGACTTTGCAAAAAGGAGCTTCTTTATCAGAGGTTTGGGTGCATCTACACTGTAGAAATCATCCAGTTTGACATCACTTTAACTGCCATGATTCCATCCTACAGTATCCTGGGATTTGTAGTTTCATGAGCCACAAGCACTCTTGGGCAGAGAAGATTGAACCTTGTAAATCCAAAACCAAGGATTCCATAGGATGGAGCTACAGCACTTAAAGTGGTATCAAACTGCATGATTTATGCAGTGTAGGTGCAGCCTTTGTTAACTGAGGTATGCTTTTACTAGATTTGTTCTTCTCTGATGAAGTACTGAAAGCCTGTGTGGTGTCAGTACATGTGTCAAAGTTGAGAATGATTTTTCAAATATGGTATAGATGCACTAAAGGCAAGTCTTGCAGCATATAAAATGAATATGCATGAAAAGGCTTCTTTGTACATGCATAATTTTTTTTACTGAATTCATGAAATGTTAATATACCTTATTTTCCTGCATATAAGACTACTTTTTAACCTGCAAAATCTGTGGTTAAAGTGGGGGGTCGTCTTATACGCCGGGTATAAGGATAAGGAAGGTAGAGGTGCTAAAACTCTATATTTTGACTGGAAAAATGGGGGGGGGGTCGTCTTATACGCCGGAAAATATGGTAGGTTGTTTTGTTTTGTATTTGCTTTTATCAGGATTCTATTACTTTTCATTTGAACGCTTAAAGTGTACTTCGAAATGAATAAATGCAATGTTAGACATAGTAAAGGAAAATTTCATGTGAAAGATCTGAATTGCCTTACTGGCCCCATCTGCATTGCTACACCCCTGGTTCCACAAGGTAGGTTCCTTCCTTCCTTCCTATCTGTTCTTCACTGCCTATCACACTTTATGCTATCAGGGAAGGAGAGAAAATTATGCAACCAATACAAATGTTGTCCTTTATGTAGTTTCCTTGACATTTTTTAAAATTACATGGGATTTCCTGGGGCAAGGGGTGGTTGTGTTCATTCCAACCAATTTGTTTTTAATAGCCACTAAAGTAATTAATATCAGCACATTGGTTCTGAACTATGACTGATACAGGGTTCACATAGCTCTGGAGTGCAATATGAATGTCAAGTAGTATAATGTTAAATCCTTCCATCCAGGTGCCTTCCTGACTTTATGAGCAGCCATTAGGATATCCTTGGGTTCTTGGTGAAAATAAGGGTGGTGTCTCACTGTGATTAAACTACTAAAGAGCACATTGAAGGCAGAATAAAAGAAGCAAGAACACAGGTTGCAGTGGAGGGAAGTCAATTTACCTTTCAGTGTAAATGATAATCCTTAAGAGTGCAATCAGGAGAGGGGAAATGGTTAAGTTAAAACAATAATTTGCCTTTTACAATTTGGCTTTTGTGATCTGGCAATTAATTAGCACAGGTTTTGTCAGCATTAAGGCACTACCAAATTGCAAAAATATATGGTCTCAGCCTTAGTTGCTGGCTCTGTCACATCATACTCTTTTAACATTTTAATAAGCAGTTTAGGGATTTGAGCTACATGTTGGATGGGAATGGGGAACCCCTCCTCTTTTTTTTTTTTTTTTTTTTTTTTTGCCAGACAAGGAGGAAAGGAAGCATCCATCCTACTCTTGTAGGGCTGAAGTAGGATTAATTGATTGGTCTCCCATGAACCTGAAATCCATTAAGTGAATGAAGGATGAAAAGCAATTCAAACAGCTTTATTACCATTTTCTGGTAAAGTACCAGTTTTAGATTCTAGACCTACTGTGCAACAGCAGGTTTCCAGATATTGGCTGCACTGGCTTGTGTTTCTGGAAGAAAGGAAATTAGTGGTTCCTGAAAGTAGAAACAGCTGCTTGGATCCTAAGCAGCCAGGGTTGTTGGCTGGCTGAAGATCTGCAGATACAGGGTTGAAAAACACTTGGAGGAGTGTTGTGACTCACTCATTGGTGGTACCAAAGAGCACTATTTTAAGGGAAGTGAACAACACTCTACCACTCTCACTGTATTTTTGATGACATGTCTGGAAGGAAGGCTTCCACATGCCTTGAGATGAAACTCCAAAGTCATGAAACCCAAGATTCCTGAAGAGAATGTATAATAAGAAAAAATGGCATTGTGAGAGAAGAAACAGTTCAGAAAATCAGAGGTGAGTTTTGAAATAAATGTAAAGTTTAATGTGAGCCAGAATTTAGCTGGCTTCGTCCTGGAAACATGTGGAACAAGAAGTGTCTTTAAGCATGTGTGGATTGCCCTTACTTCACTGATGGTCTGTCGGCATACATAGAAAATTAAGTATAACAAAGGGCTTTCATGTATATGACATAGGCCAGATTCACATTAGGAGTGAACAAAGTTATGTTTTGTTGAATTCTGGCTTGTTATGTCTGAATTTGTCCATACAAATAAATTATAGTTTGTTACCCAATCAGAAAGCTTAACTGGAAACTGAAGGTTATTGTTAGGTTATAAACTCTGGTTTGTTTCAACTATGGTTTGTTATGTCTGAAACTGCAACTGTGGCTTGTTCTAAGCTTATTTCCCTAGCTATTTCTACCCTGAAACATGAACTAACAAAAGAGATTGAAGGAAAATAGCAATGAGGAAAACAATGTAGCGTGTCTACAGAATTTGTTTCTAAAGCAACAAACCAAGAGCTAGTGTGGTGTAGTGGCTTGTGTATTGGACTGCAACTCTGGAGACCAGGGTTCAATTCCCAGATCAGCCATGAAACCCACTGGGTGACCTTGGGCAAGTTACATGTTCTCAGCCTCAGGGGAAGGCAATGGCAAAGCTCCTCCTAACAAATCTTGCCAAGAAAACCCCATGATAGGGTCACCTTAAGGTTGCCATGAGTTGGAAATGATTTGAAGGCACATAACAAGAAACAAAGAAACAAACCATGGTTAACATAAACTATGCCTTGATGTGGCTGTATGGTTGTGTAGCATCTGCAAGGATAGGTCAAACCTGTGCCTGCATATGTCTATTTTTGAATGCTGTGGAGTTTACTGTTCCCTTCTCTTTGCAGTAACAAAATCCCCAACAGTCTACCACAGAGCACTGAAACCTGTGCACATGGTCATTCCATGCCTGGAGGGGAACAGGGGATGGGAATTGCAGAAACATTGGATATATAGCCAGATGCAAAAAGAGTCCATCAGTCCAGTGGACCCTGGAGGCCTCAGTGGATGATGAATCACTTTGCACCTGGCTATAGGGACATAGACAGAAGTTTCTATGGTACCCTTTCCTCTCTTCCAAGCAGATAATTGGGGGGGGGGGTGGCACTTCAGCATCTATATAGTAGGTTCTGAGGATGTCTCAGCATAGCATATTTCCATATGCAGAACAACTGTGTTACCCTTAGCCATGAAGAATTGCGGCCTCAGTGTGAAGATCTGAATAACTTTGTCATGCAACTCCTTTCAGTAAAACACTATTACAGAATATTCGACACCAAATGCATGCAGATGTCAACAGCAATGGATCACAATGTGTTGTTGGAGGGAAGAGTTCCTACATATGTCCCCATCTCCACTTCAGTTGTATGCATGTGCGAAGGGCTGCAAAAAACTTTTGTGATTTGTTTATGTGCCACAGATGGTGCGGGGTGGGGGAGTCCTTACATTGTAATATGGTAGTCAAACTGTCACTACAATTCTTAGCACCTTTGGAACATTAGTACAAATGATAACTCAACAATGGAGCTTATCACACACCTGAAAGAGACATCTTACCTCTTCTGGGTTCAATCCTCGATCTGGAACACACCCAGATGTTATCACACATAATTTGCTACCACTTTTGCTGTGAAGCCTCCGGATGCATCCAGCCCAAATCCAAGGAGCACTCAGCTGGCCAGCTGGTCAGAAAACTTCCGTTTTCGAAAAAGTGCCACCTGAGTGTGGCTTTGATCTGGGATGGATGCGGCCAGTGGCATTGCAGCAAAATCAGTGGCTAATTATGTGTGATAACATCCAGGTGTATCCCAGATTGAGGATTGAACCCAGAAGAGGTAAGACACCTCTTTCGGGTGTGTGATAAGCTCCAGTGTCTTTGATATTCTTAAAGCTCAAGCAAAATATTGCACATTTATTCATAGGAATGGTAATGATAATTTCCCAATTTTATATATACATTTTCCTGGGGAAAACCTACAAAACTTACAAGGGGCTTATGAATGGGTCTATGATAAAACACAAAGGGTGTATCCATGCTGCAGAAATAAAGCAGTTTGACACCACTTTAGCTGCCATGACACTATTCTACAGAATTCTGTGATTTGTAGTTTGGTGAGATACCAGAGCACTCTGACAGACTAGGGTGAATACCTCACCAAACTACTAATCCCACAATTCTGTAGGATAGTGTCTTGGAAGCTAAAGTGGTGTCAAACTGCTTTATTTCTGCAGTGTGAACAGCCATAAAGACTCTAAATTACTGTTTTAGGAGGACTTTGAAGACTGCTTGCTCAGTGGGAGGAGCCTTGCCTATTTGTTTTCTTTTTAATTGTAATATTTTTAACTGGTTTTAACTTTATTGATAGTTTAATTACACTATTGTAATTATTGTGTAATTATTACACTATTGTATTTTGTGGTGAATTTTT